GGCGCCTTAGCCCGTTGAGCTATAGGCGCCGAGCCTAGCCTCTTTTTCAATTTTCTCCTTGTCCGCATACATACCCCAACCACATAGTTGTTCTCCACTGGACCACAAGTTCTGTGAGCCTCATCCCCGTACCCTGGCCAGACTGCTCAGCCCTGTGTGCCCAGGCCCTGCTGATCCAAAACAGCCTTTCCGCTCTTTCCCAGCCTGCTGGTGTTAGTGGGAGGGAGGCAGCAGGAATGGAGGGGTTCCAGGTCTACAGAGAGGAGTGTCCAGTTCCTCACCTCCTTGGGGCCCCCAGGCAGGGGAGCTATCTCTCCACCACACTGACTCTCAGGGTCTCTCAAATGCCTCTGAAGTCAGCATGAGGGCCCTTCTGTGGCAAAGACCACCCTGCCCAGTGTCTCCTGATATCCCCTTGGGATACAGGGGCATCACTCTCCTGCTGCAGGCCCTTCTTGGCTGGCCCAAGAAAACTTCCCTGGGTCCTCTTCCCTTCTTGGGGGGGCCCATGTGACATCTTCTTTCAGGCCCACACCACCATCCCCTCATCTTAGTGCCCACAGGTGGTGGGCCAGTGAAGCAGTGGGGGTTGGGGCAAGGGGCAAGATAGGAGCAGGTGGGTCAGGTGGGAGCAGGGCCCATAGCCCAGCCAGGCCTATCAGTCTACACGGATACACTCCAGTCTAACAGCCCCTGTCAAGGCGGCCACCACCAGTAACACTGGCCTGAGGGCCCTTAGGGAATCAGGGGTCTGGCCTCCCAGGGTTAGACTACTGGGCGACTCTGCCTGACCTCAGAGAGTCCAGCACTGCAGCCTGGCATTCCTCCTTCTCCAGGGTCCTTGCACTCAGTGAAGGACTGAGTGGTTTCTCCCACACCTAATTGGGGATTGTGCTTCACATGAAAGGGGGCATGGAAAAAGAGAGCCCCCACAAAAGGATAGCCCCAAGGAAGCTGGAAGCAGGCCCTTCCTATGCTGTGCCCTGGCCTAGCCCCTCTATGACTCAGAGCCCCTGTTCCATGTCAGATGGGTCCTCAGAGACCACTCAGCCCAGCTCCTTTTTGCAAATAAGAGCCCTGAGGTCCAGAAAGGGAAGGTGCTCCTTGCCCCAGGTCACAAGTGACTCAGTGCCAAGACCCTGTCACTGGAACCTCAAGCAGGAATCATTGCATCCTCCTCTGGAATGAGCAGGCCATCACACTCCAGGAGAAGGGACAGTGGGGTCAGCTAACAGAGGACCCAGGGAAGCTTGCTTGGGCTGGCCAAGGAGGGCCTGCAGCAGGAGGGAACATTCCAAGCCTAGTCCTCAGGAAGCAGATTAGAGAGAACTGGAGGTGCTGGCCCTGCCACATCTCTTCTTGACATACAGGAGGACCCCGCATGCTATGCATATCAGGTGGTGGTCATGTCAAAGGCAAGGAGCAGGAGCAGGGCCAGGGGAGCAGCTCTCTTCCTTCCTTCCTCTCACTGGGCTTCTGTTTGGGCCTACACATCTCTTCTCAGCCTCTTCTCCCATGTGACTGCCAGAGCCCAGGGCAGGCCCCCATGGAGGCCTGGGTGTCCACTCCCACCACATCCCTGTTTCTCCAGGCCTGGGAGGTGGCACTATTGCTCTCAGGCCACACTGACTTCAAACTCTCCTGGCTATAGGAGACTGGCTTGAAGGCCCTGGGCTTAGGGCAGCCTTTAAGTCTAAAGAATCAGACTCAAGCAAGACAGGAGGCCTGGGGCCTGGACCAGACACTAGAGAGCTGGCTAGGCCCGATGCCCCAGAGAAGCCTGGGCCCAGGGCCTGTGAGGGGACCCTGGAGGCCTAGCACAGCCCTGCCCACCTGTCCTGCAGGCCCGCACCTGAGTGACCTTCTCAGTGACGTTCTGTGTCCTCTCCACCACCTTGTGTGGCGCAATGATCTCGATCTCTGTGGTGGAGCCCGAGCGGTGCTTCTCCAGGTTGAACTCCACGAAGTTGAGCGTGAACTGTGGGATCTGGCTGACGGTCCTGTACTTGCCCCTGCCTGGGCCAGACCCCAGCCCACCTGGCCTGCCGTGAGAGCCTTCTGGAACCAGGGCCAGGGTCAGAGCAGCCAGGGCAGGGGACCAGCTGCTCCACCAGCTGACCCCACATGCCCCTCCCATCACCACCCACACCTGCCTCACCGGAGCCCAGGAAGCTCTGGGACAGCAGGCGCTGAGACAAGCTGCGGCTGCTGCTCTTGGCCAGAAGCTGGGCCAGGTCCTCAAAGTTGAGGATGAACATGATCACAGCCCCGTCCTCATTCTTCACCGGTACCACATCCACCAGGCAACGGAAGCTGGAGGCTGCAAACAGCATTGGTAGGGGTGAGGGTTGCAGGTGGAGCAGTGGCCTGGGGCCTGATGGCCTGACCATTCCAGAGGAAGATATAAAGAGCCCTGCTTGAGGGCTGAAGGGCTCCCCTCCTGCAGTGACCAAGCTATAGAGGCGGGCTGAGTGAAGGTCAAGTTAAGGGCAGCCACTAGGGCCTGGAAAGGGACCAGAACTACTGGGCAGAGGGTGGGTGAGACTGCCCAGCCGGTGCCCACCCACGGGGCAGAGGTGGGAGAGCGTTAAGCTGCTCATTAGGAGATGATACAGCATCAGGCCCAAGTCCATGCTCAGCACTCAGCTCAGGGCTTAACCTCGAGGTTTGCTTCTGCTGTAATTAAAGCTGAGCAGATGGGGGTGGATTAAGTGGGGAGGTGAGGCTGGACAGTCTACCCCATGTAGCTTGGGCTGACCCTGGGCTGAGCCCCCATTTCCCCTTCCCCCAAAGACACTTTGCTCCCCTGATGTTGACAGCGCCAGTAGCTCAGTGAGTAGAGCGCCGGCCACATACACTGAGGCCGGCAGGTTCAAACCCGGCCTAGGCCAGCTAAACAACAATAACAGAAAAAATAGCCAGGTGTTGTGGCGGGTGCCTATAGTCCCAGTTACTTGTGAGGCTGAAGCAAGAGAATCGTTTACGCCCAAGAGTTTGAGGTTGCTGTGAACTGTGACACCACAGCACTCTACTCAGGGTGACCAATTGAGACTGTCTCAAAAAAAAAAAAAAAAAAAAGAAAAGAAAGAAAAATAAAGAAACACACTAAGTGCTAGGTGCTGGGCCAATTGACACATCACACTTCTGGAAGTCCTTGGGGGCAGGCATAACCCCCTTGTTCTTCAGATGAGAGCCTGGGGTTCTGAGAAACTGACTTCCTGGGGCTGGGACATAGACTGGATCCTCAACATATAACACCTTGGAAAAGGGAAGGGGCTTGTCTGGGAGGAGGGCGCCAAGGCCAGGAACAGGCTCCTGCTCCCAGCCTGGGAGGAGTGCAGGGTTCCATGGAAGCTCAGCCCAGGAAGCAGGTAGAGCAGTGGCCTAGGGCAGAGAGGTAGGGAGATGGCCATGTGGGAGCAGAGACCCCTCTAGCCACCCTTTCTACCCTCCTGGGAAGCCCAGACCCAGCTTCGGGCCCACAGCCTCTGCCCCTCTCTCTGCTCCAGGGTTTCACCACAGCCACCCATTGATGAGTAGAACAACACCAGCTAAAATGCCATGTATCCCAGAGCCCCACTCCATGGGAGTCCTCTGCTCCTCAGCTCAAATTGCTGGCAGGTGGCAGGGGTCTCAAGTGACCATGCACATCAGAGGGCAAAGCTGCCCTTCCTGGGGGCAGGTTCAGGTCTGTCTTACCTGTCCCAGGGGCTGTGTAGTGACTAAATGCAAGTGTGTATGTGTGTGTAAATGTGCAGAACGAAGGCTGGCTGGCAGGAGTATTGCTTGCTACCTTGGGGACCTTTAGAATCACTCTTCACCAGATACCCAATCTAGTATTCATTTCTCTCAGCCCCTCCTCCCAGCCATCAGAGCTGGGGTGCAGCTGAGCCACCCATATCCTCCCTCTCACTTTTCTCCTATAGAGCAGGAATCTCCCGGATCAGATTCCTGGACTCCCAGGCACCACGCAACCATCTGCCAGCTGCTGTCTGGGCCCAGGAGAGACATCCACACCAGGGAAAGGCTACATGACTGGCCTGACACCCCCCACCCCCCAGGCTCACAGTGCTACAGGCCCTGAGTCCCAGGCCAGAGCCTGCGACTTTCATTAGTCTGGGACTTGGTGAGGCCTGGACAGGAACCTAGCCAGGAAACCTCCTTGGCTGGTGGCCTGGGACACTGCTCCCAAAGGCCAGACTATATCCTCTGGCACTGCAGAGATCTGGCCTGGCAGGGGGCAAGGAAAGGGCAGAGCTGGGTGGAGGGTGCAGCATGGGGCCTCCAGCCTGTCTGTGCTGCTGGGGGCTGCCAAGGTACAGTCTTAGAGTGGCTGTACCTAACAATACTATTTGATACTATTGGAAAATCAATGCAGTTGGAAAACTGAGGCTGGGAATGGACCAAGACCAGCCCATCAGGGCAATGAGGAAGGGGTGGGAGTTGGTTCATGGCACCCTGTACCTCACCCTCATGCTTGTTGCCTCTGGGGTAGGCAGACAGAAGACTGAGAATTAGGAAGAATCCAGAGCATTCTCTCTCCCCCCGCCCCAGGCTGTCCTTGCTTACCCATGGCTCAGAGCCTACAAGTAACTCTGTCTGGGTGACTGGAGGTGGGTGAGTGTTTTAAGTTGTATCCAGGAGTGGCAATGTCCCTGTGCCCTTGCTCAGTCCCTGGAAGAGGAGCCACAGTCTCTCTCTGTTTCTCCCTTCTAGGGCTCCTCCCAGCACCTGCTCTCTCACCAAAGGCGGCAGGCTTGCCTGCCCCAGGGACAACCCCCTCCTCTCTGTTCTTCTGTCCCCATTGAATGTGCTCCTTCCTTTGGTCTCTCTCATCACTCGCACCCTTGCCCCGCTCTGGCCCTCGCTCTGTCCTCTCAGCTTCCTTGTTGTCATTTATATTCACCCCATCCAGCATTGTGGCAACCTCTCAGGGAGGGGCTGGTGATACAGAAAGCTGCCCCTAAGTGGGTGGCTGCTCTATGCCACCTCTAGCTTGGTCCTCCTGGCATTCATGGGTAAGCATATGGAAAACACAGATTGGGGGATAATGGGGGCAGGCAGTGGCCCCATGCCCTGTCCTCTTCTTATCCAGAGCTGAGGACTAGAGAAGGCTCAGGCTTCTTCTAGTCTGGCTTGGGGATTAGGGCACTTTCCAGTTTGGGATCATCAGAGAAGGTGACCTGGCAAAGGCAGGCAAGGATAGGTCCTTTGGTAGGTGCCTCCTGGGGTCAGGCAGAGAAGCGGGTGGGGAGAATCTCTCTCTCTCTCCCCCTTCACACTCTCATTGGTTCTAGCCCTTCAACAATCCTTGCCCCCCTTATCAGTTAGGTTCTTACTTTTCCTAGTAAAGGCAGATAGAAGAGCTAGTTTCTCAGGGCTCTCTGTCCTCTGTCTCATGGGGTACTTTTGCCAAGTGTCCTGGCTTCCTTAAGACCAACTTTATGCAGATGCATTAAACATGGACCCTCCACTCCGACTTTGAGAATTTTCAATGGATTACCCCTTTAGATTAAAAGAGGATTATACATAAATCAGCTAGAAATCTATTCAGGACCCCTTCCCACCTCCCTGGAGTTGGGTGTTGGGGGAAGGGAAGGTATTGACCTAAAGAGGGAAGAAATAGCCATTAAGATGCCCCTTCAGAGAACTGTAAGATGTATATGAATGTGATTAAAAAAAGAAAAAAGGATCATGAGGTCAGAGTAAACCTTAAGGTGAACATAAATTACCTGAGTACTACATCTTTCCCTTAGGGTAATGTGGGCCAGGAAACTCTTTTCTGGATTTTAATCCAATTTCAGGAAGATTCAGGTGATAAAAAGACTTGGCCAATAGAATAGGGAAGGTCTGAGAGTGGGGTGGGGTAGCTGGGGATTTATGGTGTACCAGGTATGTAGGTAATTTCCCACTTTCACCAGGGCTTCTAAGACTAGTTTCCTAGTTCCCTTCTATGGATAGAGGACCTCAGCAGGGTTCTGAAGACCCAAGTCTTGATCTCAAGGTGCCAAGGACTGGCCTTGACTTCTGCCCTTTGCCTAGGAACCTGCAGAGTGCTGACAGGACCCCAAGAAACCCGATCTGATATCTTTAGTAGTCTAGGATCCAACCGTCTGGGGCCCGGAGAGAGCTCAGGAGTCAAGGAAAGGGACAGAAAGGACCTGCGATCCCCCTCATTTCTTGCAGCCTCATCCTGTTCCCCCAGGACCCTTCTCACTCCCCTGACTATCACCTCCTCCCTGCAATGATGTAAGGAGGTGAGGTCTCAGCTTTTAAAAATATTCTGACTTCATTAACCCTGTGAGTTCTGCCAACATAAGCCAGATTCTTCCTAGTGCCCTGATTGCCACTCCTGCAGGCTGCACTTCCTGCCTGCTACTCGCTTGTGTGGTAGCAGCAGGTATAGCTGGGGGACAGCCAGGACCTGCCCCAGAGGCCCATAAACACAGACAGGAAAGCAAGCACACACACATGCTCATGTTCACTCACACTCATGTGCTACACACACAGCAACCCCTGGAACCTGGATTCTCAGCACCCTTCAGTCTCAATTCAAAGCCTTTTATCTTCACTCAGGTGGCCTCCTGCCTGCCTTCCCTGGGGGCTTCCTTCCCCAAAAGTCCTATTTCCAAGCACAGAAAGGACCTGCTATCCCCCCTCATTTCCAAGCACAGACGCCATTGGGGTGCTTTCTCTCCTCTTGGGATTACTCAGAACAGACATCTGGAGGGAAGAGTTCAGACATTTAGGTTCCACACCCAGATTGGAACCTAAATCAGGTTCCCCCCTAGTAGTGGGATCTCACTCAAGTCCCTTCCACATCCATGATATAAAGGGATTTATTTAAGCCAGTGGTTCCTAAACTTGGCAGAACATCAGAACCACCAGGTAGTTTTTCCAAATACACCTGCTCGGCCTCATCTCACACTTTCTGAGTCAGCCTCTCTTCAGGGAAGGAATGTTTTGGAAAACCTGCCCCAGGTAATTCTGAGGCAGAACCTATTTGGGGGCCACTGATCCTTGAGATTGCCAAGGGACTTTCAAGCTCTGATCCTAGTTCCCACTCATCCCCCAGGTATAGTGTGGGGACCTTGTGGTCCTAAGGGAAGGATCACAAAGGGGTGCTGAACTCTGTCCTCAGCCCATGGCCTATGCTTCTGTTCTGCTTGCAGGAAGCTGGGGCTGCCAGTAACAGCCAGAACTCCATCTGGATGAGCCTCCTGGTTGGGGCAAACTCCAGACCTCACCTCTCCCAAAGAGCTGGGGCTAAATGAGCCAGGCCCACCCTCTTTTCCAGCCAGCAGCCTCCATGCCTTGCCTGGCCTTGAGGGAGTGACTCCTCCCCTAATCCCTAAGCAGACGGAGATGAGGGAAGGTTAATTTCCGTCCCAGCTGCCTGACAGCTGGGGCTGACAGTGACAGAGTGGAAGGCCAGGAGACCAGGGACATGGGGGAGGGATGGTGGAGTAGGAGGCTCTGCCCCACGCCAGGAGCAGTCAGTCAGTGGCTCAGCCTGGTCCCTAGGCCCAGAAAAGGACCTCAGAAGGGATCTCATCCAATGCCCATTGCTTTCCCCTACAGATGAGGAAACTGAGGGCCTTACAGGAAATAGGATTTGTTCAGACCCTTTGGTCCCTGGGTCAATGTCCTCCTGAGGCCACTCTGGCTGGGCAAGAGAGAGGGCCCAGCCCACCCTGCAGAACCTCTGGCTCAGTGTGCCTCACCATCCTTGCGGTAGTAGAGGATGTCCACCTTGCACTCTTCAGCCCCCAGCAGGGCCTGCGCCAGACGGGACACAGCACTGCTGGGGGTGTTGGGGCCCGTGAGGAAGTCACAGGTGCATGGTTGCTGCATCACCTCCACTCGGGAGTAGCCGAAAAGTTCACAGAAGCCGTCGTTGCAGTAAATGATGGCGCAGTTCTCCATCTGAGCATTGGCAATCAGGAACTTACGACCTGGGGTGGGAAGTAGGAGGTGAAAAGATCACAGCAGCCAGGACGGGTAGCAGGGAGGGAAAGATGATAGGGACTCTTGGTGGCAGCAAGGGAGATTTAGATGTGACCACAGGGCAGTGACCAGATGAGGGAGGGGGAGGTCAGGTCCAGGGAGGGTGGGAAGAGCAAGGAGGTTGGTGTCATTACTACTCCTTGCAGTAACAAGGGGGTGTCCAGAGAAGTCGGGGGGAGGTAGGCCTAGGGATTGTGGAAAGAGGAGGGCAGGATGGGTCCGAGGTGGGAAGAAGGCTCCAGGCCTCCTGGGTACAGGAAAAAAGGAAAGAGAACCAGGACAAGGGAGCAGGGATGTGACTAGATGGGGGTCAGGTCTGGGGAGAGCTCCTGGAAAGACCAGAATCAGGAGGTGAAAAGACTCAAGGAAACCTCAAGAAGAAGGGGAATAAGAGGTGGGCCGTGGAGCAGGGGCTGGACGGGATGGTCAGGGCTTGGGGCATATGGGGCACAAAGAAACAGCTTTGTGGGTTGCGGAGAGGGACTGCAGTTTGCCTCTCCAGTCCCGGGAGAGAAGACAGCATTTGAGGTATTTGGGTCCCGCTGGAGGGAAGGTGTTCCCGACATGAAAGGAAGGATTTTGCATTCAGCATCAGGCACCCACCACCTTGCCCCATTATAAGTTAGTAAAGGGACTTGGTCCCTTCTTTCACCGAACCAGGACTCCAGATCGTCCCCCCACCCAAAACACACACTCACTCTGGCCCTCGAATTTGCGAATGATGGTGTCCAGGTAAGTGTTTTGGGGAGCGACGTGGCCCCTGCGAACCGGCATCTTGAGCCAAGGCCCCTGCCCCGAGCCACAAGCGCACAGGCTCCCTGCGTCTCCGCTCGTCCTGGGGCTCAGCGGCGTCCGGCTCCGCGTGGGCACCGCCCCCGGGGGCCGCTTCCGCGCCCCGCCCGCCCGCCTGCGTCTGCCCTCGGGGACCGCAGCTGGTCCCGCCTCCTGCCCTCTCAGCCAGCCCGGGAGCTGTCCGCGCTGCGGTGCTGAAAGATGCCGAGCTCCGGCGACAGGCGGGGTCCGCCGGGCGGGGCAACTTCTCCGGGACACACAGGGCCGGCGGGGCGGGGCCTTGAGTCCTAGGAGGCGGGGCGGGAGGGGGTCCAGGGCCTGGAATAGGGAAGGCCTTCTCTGAGGAGCTTCTGCTTATGTCCCAGTGACCAGGGGTCTCAGCACTTCTTGGTGCTAACTCCCTCTCGGTGCGGAAGGGACGTCTCCCCTCCCAATGCAGGGATGTCTCCCAGGCAGGGGAGAGGGCGGCGGGAGTTGTTAGGGGCCTCAGGTGGTCTTTTGCTGAAGGCTCTCTTCTGGGTCTGAACGCTGCCCCTGACCCTAGGCCTCTTGCCTGCCCTTAATGATTGCCTTCCAGCTGAAACCAAATGCACATTCAGATCACCTGGTGGCAAGCCCAGCCAGGGCTTGGAGCTGGGAGGATGGGGTGGGATACACATGAAGCACAAGAAATACGGAATAAGGTGACTTTTTGAGAGGCCAGAGAGCTCTTAGCATACAGGCTCAGCTTGGAAGAACAGATTTAAAACCACCTATTAGCAAATGACCACTGATAAAAGTGTCTGAGTACTGACTGAAAATGAACACACTAGAAGAAGCAGATGGAAGTGGGGTGAGGTTTATTAAAAGAGGCTTCTTGGAGAGAAGGAGGAGAAGGGGGCCACTGTTCACTGAGTATCTCAGCTGACTTGGAGTTTTGCAAAGAGCTCAGTGACCAATTTTGAGCCAGGCATTGGGGGGCAAGCACTCAAATGGGGCATGCACCATAGGCAAAGGCTGAGTGTGGTGTCAGTGCACAAGGACTGAGCTTGGGGGGGGTGAGAGACGTAAGTTTGGAGAAAAGGTGTAATTGATAAAGACCCTCAGATGTCATTTTGAACATCTAAATTTAATTGATGAAAAACTAAATTCTCAAGCAGTTAGACATGAAGGAAATATTCTGGCAAAATAAACTTTATAATAGCGGGTGGGGCAGGGAGGACGGACAAGGAGGCTCAGTGAGGTTTTTGCTGGAGTCCTGGTGAGAGGCTTGGAGTCCTAGGCTGGGTGTGCCCTTGCCACGCAGAGCCACAATTCCTGGTAGGGTCCTCGTTGGCCACTGTGGCTGGGGAATGGATGGGCTGCAAGTGTGGCCTCCTGGGAGGGCGGAGGTTTCGTGGCTGCTCCTGTGTGTGAGGGGGCAGGCTGGCTGTGGAGGAAAGGTGGAGCTGTTCCACATGGGCTCAGTACATGGTGTGCTGAGCTCTGAGAAGGGACTTGGGCAGTGAGACACACTCATTCACTCCCTTACTCATTTCCCAAGTCTGCATTGTGTGCTATGGGCTGTGCTGACCACAGGTGCCACATAGGAGCACACTCCTCATGTGTGTCCTATAGAGCTATAGCTAGTAATGGTGGGAAAATAAGGATATCATAGCATAGAAAAGTAAGTGTGATAGTTACACCAAGAGAGGGTGATGTACAGCTTGGGGCTACATCAATAATTGCTTGGTTTAGCCAGAACTCAGGAGACTTCTAGAAGCCCAGGCAGCAGTATGGTAACATGCAAAGCTCAGTCTGGTACCTTTGTCTCCAGAACTGCTGGCTTCTGGGCTCAGATTCTCAATCTAGAGAGAGCTAGTCCCCTCTTTTAGCTACTCTCCCACCAGCTCCAATGCAGCCTTAGTGCCTCTTCTCTGTGCTTACTGACTGTAATGCCACTTCCCCTCAAGTCTCCCCTGTCATCTGATAGGCACTGACTCCCAGGCTCCCCTGTGGCTTGGAAGGTAGGTACCTGAGACTGAGGGAGAAGGCCAGTGGCAGATCCTCCCTGACAGCCACAGGGGACCCTCTCCAGTTTTACTTGCTCTATGAGACTCTTATGTCTTCCACAGAAAAAGGTTCCCCTGGGACCTCAATCCAGACTCAGCAAGTCACCAGATATTGAGTATGGCATCCTGGGCAGGCAGACTCAAGCTGGAGAGAAAGGGCTAGGAGGGGTAGGGGCAAAGGTTTTCCCCTTCTTTCCCCAGGCTTATTCCTAGAGCACTAATTTTCCAAATATTCTCCTACAGTGCTGTCCCTCCCATCATCCCCACCCCATCCCACCCACCAGAGCCTGTGAAGGTGCTGTTTGCACTATGCTCACTCCCCAGGGCAACAGGCCAGGCAGCAGGTGTATGTGTTGAACAAGGCCATCTCCGGAGCAGAGTGGCTGGAGATGAGCTTTGTTTAAATATTAAAGAAGTCAATCATTAATCAAGGCTGGCTCAGTGCCCAGTTACCCACTGTCTCCATTTGGGAGGGCCTGGGCCGGGGCAGAGAGAGCCATGGGGCAGTTTGTGGGGTTACTTTAATCTCAACCAGCAAGCAAAGAGCTTCTGGGGGCTGACTTATGCAGCCTGTCACAGGACAGACCACAGGATCAGCAGACGGGTGTGTTAGCTTGCGTACACAGCACAGGGCTCATAAACTGAGCACCAGTGATTCATGAAGGAGTGTCTAGTTCTACTTCCGTATGTTTTATAAGGGGACTGAAGCAAGGCCTTTTTCCTAAACATTGTGGAGATTTCTTGGGTACTACAACTCCAGCCAAACCCCATAGCTGGTCTCCTAACAAAACAAAACTATGCAAAGAACCAGTTCTGGGCATGACTTAGTGTGGGGACTGAGTTGGAGGGACACGGCCACTGGTTCACTACAACCATAGTTCCTGAACCTCTGGGGGAAAGGAGGTTAGCTTGGAACCCAGGGCACACATGGAATCACATGGAGTCAGTGTTTATGTAAGTTAACAAATATACAATTTGCAAATATACAATTACAATGTCACATGTACCCCAACATGCCACAGCTGCACCCAATCATACCTGGGCACTGTGCACCCAGGCTGTCCGCTGTCCTCCCCTCTGTCCCCCAACGCTCTCTGGCTTGGTTGCCCTCTTCCCTCCAGCCTCACCAGTCTCAGTGGTGGTTAGTTCCCGTTCCACCGTTCAGTTGCCATCCATGGAGGCTTCCTGCCGTGATGTGTGAAAATCCAAATGGCCAGGCTGATGCAGCACATCATCATGACGAGGAAGAGCCCCAGGAGTATCCACTGTCTTTTAACAGCCTGGGGGGGATCCATGGCTTTGCCCAGGAAGTAGGCAGGGAACAGTGGGGTGAATATCACGCTGTCTTGGGCCAGTGACTGTTTTTCCAGGAAGTACAGCCTGTAGGCCAGCCCCAGGGACACCAGCAACAAAATCAAGCAGAGGGTCAGCAGCACCCACTGCCCAAAACTGGCCTTGTCAGAGTCCAGCTCCAGACTCAGGAATCTCATTTTGTTTGTGTCTTTTTCTGTGGAAGACATAAGAGTCTCATAGAGCAAGTAGAACTGGAGAGGGAGCCCTGGGGTCCCCTGTGGCTGTCAGGGAGGATCTGCCACTGGCCTTCTCCCTCAGCCTCAGGTACCTACCTTCTAAGCCACAGGTAAGAGCAGGGAGGGTGGAAGGAGAGTGAGAAGGAGGGCTAGGAAGAAGAGGAGGAGGAGATGGGTGCAGATAGGACTATGTACAACCTCCAAGCAAGGGTCAGGAGGCATGATGCTGACTATCTGCTTAAATATCAGTCTGGGAGCCTCACTGGATAGTAAGCAAGGAAGCAACTAAGCCAGGGGCTGGGGCATGGGCTGTGGTCTTGGCCAAAGCTGCACCAGGCCAGTTTAGACAGGGGCACATAGCCATGCTGTACTGGGTCACCAGGTCATAGATGAGTTGGGAGTTAAGGCTGGATTGGGGTAGGGGCTGTCCCAGGGTAGGGTAGGGTGGGGCCAGCGGCTGGCACAGAGCTAGAACTAGGGTTAGAATATCAAACCTTCATAGGAGCAGGTGAAATCGGGCCAGCCCAGAATCTCTCCTTGCTGTACATTCTCAGCCACCAGCCAGTTCAGTAGCGGCTTGAAGTAGGTCATGAGGGCCTTTGTAGACACAGTGGACTCCCCTGTCAGCTTCTTTAGGACCTCCGGCCAAGGCTGACTCGAGCCCAGCTTTAGGGCATCCCTAGGGGTGTGGATGTAGCTGTGAGACCATGTGGGGGCATCACCTGGTGCTCCTGGGACCCTCAGCATGCCCAACCCCAGCCTCAGGGCTTGGCTGGCCAGAATTTTCCCACAGAGCTCAGCGTGGTGAATACAATCATGTTTTGAAATAAGATTAACCTGGGTTTGACTTGGCACCTGTAGCTCAGCAGCTAGGGTGCCAGCCACATACACTGGAGCTGGTAGGTTTGAACCCAGCCTGGGCCTGCCAAACAACAATGACAACTACAACCAAAAAATAGCTGGATGTTGTGGCGGGTGCCTGTATTCCCAGCTACCTGAGAGGCTGAGGCAAGAGAATCGCTAGGCCTAAGAGTTTGAGGTTGCTGTGAGCTGTGACACCACAGCACTCTGCTGAGGGCGACATAATGAGACTCTGTCTCCAAAAAAAAAGATTAACCTGAGTCTGAATCTTGGCTCTGGTCACTTAGTAGCCATGTGATCTTGAGCAAGTAACCTAACCTTTTTGAGTCTGTTTCCATATCCATAAAACGCAGATAGTAACTACCTCACAGGGTCATTGGGATAATGAAACAAGCACAGTAGGAGGAGCACTGCAGGCAGGCCATAAGCGTTAACTGCTGCTGGTTATGATTATTCCTAGTGCTAGTACCACTGTGATTATTATTATTCCTAGTACTTGCATTACTGTGATTATTTTGCCTAGCTAGAGAGCAGTGGCATCATCATAGCTCACTACAACCTCAAATTCCTAGGCTCAAGCAATCCTGCCTCAGCTTCCCAAGTAGCTGGAACTCCAGGTATGAGGTACCACGCCTGGTCTACTGTGATTTATTATTATTCCTAGTACTGGTACAACTGTGATTGTTATTATTCTCCTGGACTC